ATACCAAACATGTCAGGCTGAATTACAATGACATGAGCGTACGGCGCTCCCCGAGGCCAGGAGAGCCGTACGTATGTGTGAACGGAGGTTGAATGTTTTGTAAACCTGGTGGAAACGCAGCACATGTTTTTCTAAGTCGGAGGGGAAACTGAAGAGCATTTTCACACCAGAAAGAAAAACATGTTAAGCATGTCCAGATGCTGTGAAGACCGATGGCTGCTGGGAGTTTGGGGACTTCCTTTCTTTTTGCCTCTCAGATGTCAGAGTCGAGTTTGTTTGCAAAACCGCAAAGAAATAAGAACCCATTGGTCAGTTCTGATAGTTTTGGGTAAAAATGAATAAATATTTTAATGAGGACGCTTAAAAAAAGACTTTTGTTCAACTAGATGATCCGTTATAGCGGTATGCAGAAATCTAAACCTCTGAGCAGCTGATTACTGTCTCAAAAGACAAAGAATGTAAATTTGACCACTGTCACATGTCAATCATTTACTCTTCTTCCACTTAACTACACACTACGTAGTGTTCACCTGAAACTGTTTGCAACAAAAATGTAAAAAGGATTAAAAGAGCAGCATTATGTTTTTTTTTCCTGACAGATATTGGTATTTCCTATCACAATCAAGTAACTCTTAACTTCAGTTGTTATAAAAATGCTACATATATTAAATATGACTTAAAAGAAATTTTACTTCGATATTTAACACCTTGAAATTGGGCATCTGTCTCTTTAAAAGCTCCTGAAACTCCGCCCTCAGGAAGTCATCACAACGTTGCTTGTCTGTGAACCCTTTAATGACGTTTTAACCAGAGTTGTACTGAAAAGTAGCTCCTACAATGAACTCAGCAGGTCCACCAGGTGTTTGCTAATTGCTTCTGGCTAGTCTGAAGGAGCTGAGTGGGAGAGGGCGACGCACACACAACTTGGAAGCTGGGAAACTGCGTTTTGCACATCTGAATGGTTGCCATGGAGATTAAAGGATTTCTCAAACATGCATGAAAGAATCAAAGCAGCACCCCTTGTATGTTTTTGATGAGTGAATAACATTATAAAGTGATGCAAAGCTTAAAAGAGTCACTTTTACGTCATAGTAAAATCCAATTTCTACTTGTTTTACAAAAAAAAACCTTATCCATAAATGTCTCAACTGGAGCTTCATAAATTTCTTTTTTCAAATTTCTTTTGAAACCAATACACACACACACACACACACACACAAAAAAGAATAAATTGCACCAGTCTTAGATTTGAACAATAGCTGAGAGAGAGAAGTTAGACAGCATGATGGGATCAATATGAGCTATTTCTATTGTTAAGGGAGCTGAAGTCTGCTATTACCGCTTCCCGCTTCTGAATCACTCCTTCGAAGAGCAAAACTGTCACAACAGACATAACTGACATCATTCTATTGCTCATAGAAATAAAAAAAAAGCACAACTCCTTACATCAACGAATGGGAACCAAATAGTGTCAAAATTACTATCATTCCCTTACTCTCCTCCTGAAAAGGTCCTTTTGATGCGAATTGAATTAAAGAGGTGTCTCCAAGTAATTAAGGGAATTATCCCTCGACTGAATTGTAGGCTTGGTTGAGGAGCTACGTTGCACGGATTGCACACTAATTTCAGAGGAGAAGCAGGGCAGAAATAGCTTTTCCTTTTATCCAGAAGCGAAGGGTAAGCTTGGACTTAACCCGGCGATCGACCCGTGAGGCCAGCAGCGGGGCCGAGAAGTTATTTTCATGCTGCGGCTGCGTTGTCTTCATCCATATTTATATAACTGCTTTGGGAAAATGTAGTTGTGATTTGAGAAGGTGAGAAAAAGAAGATAGAGATTAGAAAAAGGTGTAATTATTGGCAATTTGGCTTTGTTTGTTGATTAGTTTTAGGAAGTAAAAACCTTTGATTCAAGTGAATTTTCCTGCAAACGCTGTGCTTTGGATTATTTGAATTGGGTTTCTCAGGGGTAGTTATGAACAGTCAATATCTTGGCGATATCAGCAATAATTAAATTAATTATGGCAGGATTTGTCTTTCATACATAGGGACATATTTGAGGCACATCCCCCACGCCCCTCTCATTTTCTCAGAAATTTCAAATATTATATATCACAGAGCAGATGATGACTGTTCAGAATGGTGTACCTGAGCTTACTTGTGGAAAATTGAGTGCTAGCAAAAATGTACACCAGCAATAATCTCGGCTGATTCAATAAGTTGGAGGGTGAATTCTAACAGCGCGAAGATGAAGTCAGTTACTTGTTCTTCCAGAGTCGCTTATGATTAAGCTACTGGATATGAGACACAGGAAGTTTCTTTAGATGTGCTACAAAGAAAGATGGCAGGCTTATTGCAGAAAGTCCTCTTTTTTTAGATAATTCTCTGAGAAACTGAATTTGTGGTTTTAATGAGCTGTAAGCCATACTCATGAAATAAAGGAAATGCTTAAAATATATATTTTTTAAATTGACAGGATATGATGAATTTTACTTTTACTGAAAAAATAAGCCCATTAAAGCCAACTTATTAAAATGAATCCGTGTGAAAGGAGTTAAAAGTTTGAAAACCATTGATTATCTTCTGATTCACAATTATGACCTGTAACTGTTTTAATAAAGAAAATATGTAGAATTTTGTAGTCGAGACATGGTAAAATATGGTCGCTTTTTATTAACCAAAAGGTGTAATTTTGCACCAACCTGCTGATTTTCGACCTGTTTCAGGAACGTGATGCGGCCTGAAAAGAGAGCTCGTGTTGACACGACTTACAAAAATCATCAAAGATCGTCTCGTATGTCAAAAACAAACGTGAACGTGAACGTGAAGTCGGTGTGCGTATGTTTGGGCTCCTGCTGCACAAAAAGGCCGTTTCAGTTCCACGCTTTGTGCTCCGAACGATCCCGTCTCCAGAATCAGGGAAACGCCGCGTGTAAATGACCTCGTCAAAAGCGTGGCACCAATCAAAACGGCGCGGTCGCCATGACAACCCCGCTCCCAAATCAAACGGCCGAGGCAGCCAGCTCGCCGCGTAGCGGCTGCTGGGTGGCACACGGTCATTACCTGTGCCCCCGTCCCTTTGTGTTGCGAGCAATCACAGCCTATTCACAGCCCGCAGAAACGGCGCGCCTTTTCTCTCTGGAAAAATGATCGAATCTCAATTTTAAAAAAAGAAAAGAAAGAAAGTAGCATCATGCTGCTTCTACTGCGACAAGCCTAGACCACTTTCTTCCTCTTGACATCGATCGTGGCCGCTCTCGCCACCTCGCTATTGAATCAGTGCCCGGGCAGGTCGGCGGAATGGCAACTTGTGTCGCGTAGTCACGCCTGTGAAGAGATCACAATCTGGACCCCAAACTAAGACAGGAGATTTAAATTGGGGGCAGACGGGTTAAAAATAACTCGTATCTCTCTAGTCTCGCAGTGTGTTAGTCGGGAGAAGTCATTTCTCAACTCTCTGATTCTCCGTCTCCTGAAAATCTGAATTGCGGCGGTGGCTCCGATTGAACTCCAGTCGACGTTTAAACTCATTCCCGTTCTGCACGGCCCGGTCTGCCTCCCTCGCTCTCCCCTCGCCGAGGCGATGGGAACGTCGTGTGGGTTACCCTCCGACCCAGTTCCGCATGCAAATCAAAGCTGGATCAAAACCAGGGGTTGTCTGATGAACTAATTATGCAGTAATTGTTCTGGTCTAGACTGGAGATCCATTGTGCGAGATGACTCTTTGTGTCTTCTTTGTGCTGATTTGGAATGATAATTAGTTTTTGTTTGATTGGCAGGAGGGTAATTTTGATCTCTCTTTTTTTTCCTGTCCGAACCTCCAACTATTCATCTCCCATTGAAAAATGCAGCTCAATCCGTCTCGTACTGTAAGCTAGAAACCTTTAAACAGGTTATTCGGGGTTAAGTGACAAGGCCAGACTGTTATGCATTCGCAATTAGTGTATTTGCATAACTTAATTGGTGGCGTTTGGCCGATAGATTGTCATTAGTTCTCTCATCACTGCTGGCACATCCAGGGAAGGGCCGAATGTGCAGACACCTGCACCCAAAGCGGGGTTTTGTGCGCGTCCAGACAAAACATTGTTCTCTGTCACAACCTCTTCAGGACTCCCACAGTTTTTCCACTTATGAAGCGGCAACATACCCTTAGAAGACCAGTCAAAACAGACTGTCGACCCCGCTTGAAAGGTAACATCACCCTATAATGAGTCTTTGTTATTACAGTACAGCCTTTCTTGACTTTCTGACTTTTTGACCTTTGACTTATAGGCTGAAACCAATTAAAAGACCTCCAGGCTGTTTGTTAGCAATGGGGAAGCCATTTAAGAATATATTTGCAAAGTATCATTACTCTTTACACTAATACACTCTTGTATGATTGATGATGTTGCATGTTGAGAGAACTGTTTATGATTTACAATTGTAGTGTTATTTTTCCCCTACAATTTATTAAGTTTGTCATTATCTTAAAATCTAGCCAAAATGTTGGTCGGAACCACAACCAATGGAAATCAAGGGTTGTAAAGTGAGTTTTTTTTTTAAAAAAAGTACATGTAAGTAGAAATTAAGAGTAAGAGTTGAGTATTTTTATCCCTTTTTTTGTTAGCAACCGCTAGCATAACCAGTTGGTTCTGTTTCGGGACGACAGTGAAGTTGATGATGCGAAGCAAGATTATTTTTAAAATGACATAAAAATACAGAAAATTAAAGTCTACCCTGACCATCCTCTTTACGAGACTGTCATAGAAAGTGTCTTCAGTCATTCAATGTGATACAGACTGCTACAGGAGATCTTTCCTGCCCACAATCATCACCATCCGGAATAACTACTTAATTAAACGAGTTACAACATTTAACTTCCTTCTGGGATCAATGAAAGTGTTTTTTCAATTTGAATTTGAAAACCCCCAGACAATAAAGGCTGACACTAATTAACTGTAAACATAACCCATATGTACCAGAGTCTCCTGTAAACACGCAGGAGCTACTTTTGAAATCACCTGCTTGACAGCGCAGCAGGAGACGGGCTGCCAGGGGAGATCGGGCAGAAACGAGGAAGTAAGATGGAAGTGAATGACACCGCTGGGGCATCTCTGAAATGCAAAGGAAAAAGGTGCCATTTTAGAGCCATTAAAGGGTTTCAATATGTAGCCCCCCTCAACACACCCCCTTTTTCCACATTCACTTTCTTTTCCCCTGTAAGCACTTAGGCGCCCCCCTCCTCTCTTCACCTTTTCCAAAACGTTGCTTCTGCCTAGCTTGCTTTTGTTGCTAACGTCGCTCCATAATTGTCTAAATCGATGTTCGGCAGTCCCCTCTTCTGTGATTAGGCGGAAAATGAGGTTATGTGGCAGTTGTTGCCATGGTTTCGAAGCGGCGGATTTCAAAAAGGAAGATCTTCCCCCTAACCCTCTCAAAGCCACGAGGCCGCCATGCCGTAATGATCTTAAATTAAAACAACTTTTTTCGTCTTAGTGTAAGTTTTTTAATTACCCAGCGAACTGCCTCTGTCGGGAAGAGACCAGGAGGAAAATGAGACAAATACAGAGGCAGAACAAGCTCGGGGGTGAAAGAATGAGTGAAAAACATGGCTCAATGTGCCAAAGTGCTAATTTGATCCATTAGGGGATGCATGTGTGCGAGAAGAGGAAAGAGTGTGTGATGTGCTACCTGCCTGCAGAATATATAAAGTCTCATTCTCACCCATCAATGAGCGCGGCGAGGAGGGTGCTTTGTCACACTCCGGCTTCGGCTGAGAAAAATCTAATTAGACTAATTAGGTGTGTGCAGCAGCAACAGTTGAAGATGGAAAGAAGAAGTCCCTCTTTTGTGGCTGCGCTGCCGCGGAGAGCGAGAAAACGCACTTCCTGTTCAGGAAGAGTGTGAAAATATCTGCCGACGAACTGGTGCGGTTGATAACTTCACATCTCTGATTACCTGCAGGCTGTTTTCCCTCCAGCTTCTGTGACCTCTTGACCCGGAAGATCATCAAATAAGCAACTCTGGCTTCTTGCCAGTGGAGCTCATTCAAAAGCAAATGATTAACAGAACCCCTTCGTCTTTACTTTGACCTGCTTCCCCTGCGACTGAATTGTTCTTCGCAAACACAACAGAAAGACAAACACCAATGTGCACTCTATCAGTTTGAACCGCAAAGGGGAAATTTAAATAAAAACTACAAAAAACTGAACATTGAAATCAGGACAACAGTGTTTTTAAAGATGGATTGTCCTGTTTCAATCAGTCTGGTGCTCCTGACTGTTGAAGTGAGAGTGAACAACATGCTTTTGATTGTTGAGAGCGATTCATGAAGGTCCCAACAGAATTTGAAATCCGACAGGAAAAAAACAAAAACCAAATAAAAGTCAGCCTCTCCTGTTTTTCAGGATTCTGCAGTTGTGGAAATTTGTGTGACTGCAGAAATCCTGCAATCAACAGAACATATCTCTGTGAGTTTATTGCAAAAATGGTTAAAGACATTTGAGTCTCACTTGCTGACGGCATTGCATCAGTGGCGTCTGAATTTGCTTGTTAAAAATGCCTCTATATGTTTGTGCAAATTTGTTGGTTTGCTGAGGGTCACTGTCCGTTTGCATCCTGGCTTTAACTTCCTATCTACTGTCTTGAGATCTTGCTTTAACATTTCCACTGAATGTTCTTTCCCGCAGGTTGGAAACGGTAACCATGACTCCAACTTCCTCTCGCTGTCTGCTCACTTCTCTTTGTGCTCTGCATCCAGCCTAAAAAGGAAGTGGAGTACTTCACAAAGATCCATTTAGTGTTTTTTTTTCTTTTTCCAAAAGCCAATTTGCATCTTTTTCTGTCAATACATGATGATGCCTATTTTGCTCTGAACAACTGCGATAATCCCAGACAACAATTTTAAGCAACTTTGGCTTTTGTGGTTCCTAGGGGGAGCACTTTTAGCAGTAGGTTTTAGGCCATTTGCAGCTGTCACACACAAAAGAAATGCAATTTTGAAGCATGAATATCATACCTGCTGTCGAAAATGAAATCCTCGTGCTGAACAGAGCTCGTGTTTTGGAGCTCGAGCGCTATCTTTCCCCACGTTTTCGACAGCGAGAGCGGGTCTCTGTGAGTAATCCCTGATACCGATTCAGACTCCGTAATTGTAAAGCATCGCAGCAGGAAGTGAGGCAAGTCTCGGCTATCGACCGGCTTCAGTCTCATACTGAGCTAAAACACAAGGGTGGTGGCACTGCCGCTGAGAACATGTCAATTTTGCTCTTTAGAAAAGGAGCGCTGCTCGGAGGCTGAAAGCAAATCAACATGGCTATCGACCCAGGCAACCCAGCTCGGCAAATTGCACTCAAAGCGATGAACAAAACAACAAAAACCATCACTGGGTTGTTATTGACGAGCAACACTTTGGCTAGTGTGCCTCACTTCCAAATGAGGGAGGGATTCAAAAGACTCAAAGCCAGGAAAAAGAAAAAAGAAAGAAAAGGCTCAATAGACCATTCAAAGAGTATCCACTTGTAGCAGAGTTTGAGCTGAAATATGACTAAAATGAGGCAAAGTCTTCAAGCTGGATTTGCTCAACAGTAGTAAACACCGGGGCATGCTGAGAGCTCACCACTCATGGAGAACGTGACATCATGGAATCACATAAGGGAGCAGTGAAGGTATGCAGGCGACGCCACGGCAAGGGAATGCGGCCAAACCTGCTTATTCCTTTTAAGACTGGCGAGCTTCTGTTACGTAAAAGTAAACAGAGCAAATCTACCCTGTTCTACAACCGCGCTCCAGCTGACAGGGCCTTAGTTCAAGACCAAATTATAGAGCACATGAATTGGCAGCCCTGTTACAACATACATAAAAAAAGTCTTGAAATAAATTCAGTTTTTGGCGCATCAACGTAATCTCACCTTGGAAAGTGTCTAAAACTCGACCTTTAATTTGAGAATATTTACTTATCAGGCAAAACATCCCAATTTATTATTTAATATTTCATATCTTTTACAGTCTCCTTCAATTGTATTTTAAGTTAATCCAACATATATTTTCAGTTGTGTTAAATGTATGCTTTTGTAAATACTGTTGCCAGTGTTAGCTAACATGCAAAATGTAGCATTTTAGCAAATTTTAGAACATAAATAATTGCGGTGTGCTGTTGAGAGGTAGCGCGAGAACCCTTCAGACAAAAGCTATTTTGATGTAGCCGTCTGTGTTCAGAGGTTCAATTCACAATGTTGGGACATTTTCTGTCTTCTGCCTTCCTCTTTCCATCAATTTCCATTCTAATACTGCTAATAAAGCCCACTGGCACAACAAAAATCTTAAAAAAAAAAAAAAAGCTAACCAGCTTCCAAGTGTTAGCCAACATGTTGAAGCAAGCATGCTAGCTAAAACTAGTATCCTTGCATATATTCTAACTTGCTAATGTTAGCTAATGTTAGCATTTTAGCTAATTCTTGTTTAAAAGTTGCTGGAAGCACATTGGATGGTGTGGAGAATCATCTGTTCTCCATGCTGAGTTCTTGATGTATGAGACTGAAAAAGAGTCAGTGAGTTGAATTTATGAATTCCATTTATTAATACCAAAATACAACTGGAGCATTTGTCATGCCACCTTTAGGAGGTAACAGACAAAATGGCACCCAAGAAGAGTTTGTGATGTAAATTTGTTAGCCTCTAAGCTACGCCCCAAAGAGGGCATTCCCTAGTGTGTCATTTCCTCTAAGCATAACTCTCATTTCCATTTCCTAACACGTCATTTTCTTTAGGTGTAGCTAAGCAACTAGCTAAAAGAGATAGAAGGAAAAAAACAGAATTTATTTATTCTCAACAAAGGTGTAAGTTAATGTGAGCCAACTTGCTTGATTTAGCATGTTAAAACAGTATACAAAAGAAACATATCTCAGGTAGATTTATAGGCTGCAATAACTGATATGAATGATTTTGCTAAAATATTTTTAAACACAGTTTATTTTCCCTGATGAATAAATGCCCTCAATAGTAACTCAATAGTATGAGTTTGTCTCATGCATATATTGGTTAAAGTCTCAAAGCATGCAAGATCGTAACAATAAAAGCTCCAATATCAAGTTCATTCTCAGTTTATCCTTCACTTGAGCCATGAAGGGGAATCCAGTCCTGCTCAGATGTGAGAGAAATACACCAAAGTATAGCAAAATATAAAGCTTATATCTATTTTTATCTGCAAGCAATAAAAAAGTAACAATGCATTAACATTTAAAAAAGGGTTTTTCATTTTTAATGCTCGTCTTCTACGGGGATTTGCTTGACTTCCTCTATCAATAAAACATTTAAAACAATCTCTGTCCGGGAGAAGGTAAAAGTTTGCATGTGTCTCATTTGGGGAAGTGGAGTTAGCTTCAGAGCTCTAATAAAACTTGAAACTTGACATTTCGGGAAGTTCTTTTGGTGTGTAATTGGGTTGCCAGCCTTGAACAAATAACCGTTTAAATGAAAGAACAGACTGTTCAGCTTTTTTCAGATAAAACTAAACAGTTCTATCTTTCACCTCCCTACGTCGTATAGCCTTCAACGACGTAGCGTGGAGATGCACATGCTCCTGCTGGCTGATTAAATATGACTTCAGTCAGCATGTGTGGATCCAAGTGGTGCCAAACAGTAGTTGCACTGCCTGATGAGTCAGCAGCCGAGGGGAGTTTATGCGCCATCATGAACCCTCTGGGTATCTGTGCTAAACTGGGCTGCAATTCTGGAAAATTCAGGGGATTACCAACAAATATGCAGGGTATTTTTTTTATGGTGATTTATTAATTTACGGATCACCTCTTTCTTTCTTTTTGTCCCATTCCCTGTCTTTGCTCATTAAATTTACCTTGTTTACTCTGGATAAGATGAAAAAAGAAGTGCTTTCGGTGCTCCACTCTGCACATTTTGGGTGCAAAGCACACCGGTAGTGGGGGGGGAAACAAAAAAACAAAACAAAAGAGGGAAAAAGTGCTTGTCCCAATTACGAATCCATTTGCAACGCTAGCTCTCTCTCGGATGTGATGGGGGAGGAAATCCCAGAGAGCAAAAACCAAACAATGTGAGGGAATGAGGCACAGAAGAGGAGCCTGTCAGCGGCTGCTAATATCCATAAAGGCAATTTCACAACACAACCTAATGACACAAAATGACGGAGAGTAATGGTGAGGTAATTAGAATCTGTGATGAGTGTGGAGAGAGTGTCAGGAGGATTAGAGAGCAGGCAGAGGTGTGCTTTTAAAGATCTTTTTAGAGATGTAAACAACTTGAAATAGGAGCAGCATGGCTATCGCCAGAAAAATAAGACATCACAGCTGTAACTATGTGGAC